TAATGCAACTCAAGGTACTGTTTTTTTCTTTAAGAAAAAGATTCTGCTGTAATCTTGTTCTAGACCCAAAAAAAACATTTGAATTATTATGCTACTGAAAGTAGCAATTTACATGCTCTTAGTACGTTGATGAATATCAATTGAGCTATGGCCATTGCTGCATTGCCTGTTTTTTCAATCTCGAAACATCATCCATTCTTTATGTTCAAGACATGTCATTAGTTTCGGCTGACTCAATATAAAACATGGATCTAAACCTCAATTAAGTTTTTGTGGTTTTCTGTTGACTGATGTTTACCAAGTATATCACTTCTAATATAGAGACCATATATGATATTTAATTTTCACTGCTTTTGTGTATGATGTTGTCACGACCGGTAATTCACAATACAGAATTCCAGACAATATGTGTATTAAATCCCCATCCAGGACTAGCCAGGGACCCAGGGAACACAAGAGACAAGGTTCACTGTGCACCTCCCTCCAGCCTCAAACTCCATGGAGGAAAGTTATGCTTATGCAGACTCTCCAGGCAGCAACAATTTGACATGACAAGTCTCCTCCTCTCAATGGGATCTACCTTCGTGTACTTAGGGATACACGCTGGTGGACCCCATTAGTTTGTGATATGTAAGACGTGCATTGTATACCAACTGTCTCTTTTGTACCCCAGCTGGTCCTGGACGGGGATTTAATACACATATAGTCTGGAATTCTGCATCATGAATTTCTGGGTGCGACAAATGTTATGGGGATGCTATTTTTGTGTCATCTTTTTTACACAAACAATCTAGTGCCTTTCTGATGTTTTCATCCTTATGTTTTCAAACTGGCCTTTCCTTGAAACAGCACTATGAAGGGGACGTTGAGGACCTATGTTTGGATTTTACTCTGACTGAAGAGTTGGGTGGTAGAAGAATTGTCCATGAACTGAGGCCTGGTGGTAAAAACATCTCAGTTACAAATGAAAATAAATTGCACTATGTTCATGCTATAGCAGACTACAAGCTCAATCGTCAGGTTTGTTACTTGGTTTGCTTTCTTGTATGTTCTAAAAACTGTTGTTCTTTATCAATAAGCAGCCTTTTTGATAATACCATAATCTCTTGCAGATACTGCCTTTTGCAAATGCATTTTACAGAGGACTCGGTGATCTCATTTCACCATCTTGGCTGAGCTTGTTTAATGCTAACGAATTTAATCAGGTAACATGAATACTGAAACAAACTTTTCCTTTACAAGTGATGCTAAAAAGGAATTTAAAATATTTAAGTTGGAACCATAAAACATAGAACTCGTAAACATAGAACTTGAAGACTCAAATATTGTGAAGTCCACATGATCATATTATATTTTGAAATTGAACTTGGTCTAAGCAACAGAATTCCAAACGGAACAGGTGCATGTGCTGACGTGCATGTCCTTCCATTCACACATGTAATAAAAACAGACTAATTTTCACACAGCCAAAAACCCAATTATATCAGGTATAACCCAAAATGTACTGTATGACTGACATGCAGTTCCTGCTATTTCCTGCTATGTGCTATCGGCTATTAGTTTGTATTTGCTATACTGTTTCAGAAATAAAACTATGATAGTCTGCACTTTTGGAAATACTGCTAATGTATGACTATGATTGCCACATACAGCTGCTTTCAGGCGGATTACAGGATTTTGATGTCGATGATCTTCGGAACAACACCAAGTATACTGGTGGTTATACCGAGTCAAGTCGATCTGTTAAACTCTTCTGGGAGGTATATATTCATCTGAATTCGTTTTTTTTTTCTCCTAATGCTATCAGAAACATCAAGTGCAAAGTTATGTATAGGTAGAACATACAAACTAATATGTGGATATCAGTTGGATTTTCGTTTGTGTTGGAGTCTAAAAATTACATAATCTCAATGTTTAGCCTATACACGGTCACCTCTGCTTAATGCGGAATACTTTGATCTACTGACCTGCTTGAGAAGCCATCTGGGTTGAAGTTACTCTCTGTTCTTCCTTCCCTTTCTAATTCTTTTCTTCCTTTGACTTTCCTTCTTTTTCTTGCGTCAATGGAAATTCCCGAGATCGCCGAATCCCTTCCAGCGCTCAAGCCGATCAGGCAAATTAGGGTTTTAGGGTTTTGGCAGAGAACTCAAAGTCCCTTTCCTTTGCGTTAAGAATTAATTTTACCCATCACAAAACTAACTCTACCTCTTTGTTATGAAATGGATTTCCCAATTAACTAACCGGCAAATAGCTGATAAAATCAACCAACAATTTGGAGTAGACATATCTACCCCCATGCTATTTGTTGTTTTACTTGTAGGTTTATAATAAGGGAAGTTTTTTTTTTTACTTATCATCAGCTTGACTGCCAAGATCGATGCAAACACATGTCAGATTTGGAAATTGCTTAGTTCATCTATTATATTCTACTGTGTGGTGAGGACTGAAGTCAGTATTTTACTGCTGCGTTGCAATCTCCCCTCTGGTTGGAGGAAGTTGGTTGCCAGATGCCCAGACACATGTTGACAATTGGTATTGTTTACTTCCAAAAAAAGAGAACAATTGGTATTGTTCTAGATGGAGAAACTAATTTAGTCTGTGGTCTTTGCAATCATTTTTACTACTATCCTGGGCTGCCGGGGGCTTAAAACTGTCACATTTTTTTTTCCTTTTGTAAAACAGTATCTCCAGGCTATTTGCTTGTGGCGTATGCACTTGCTCGTACATTTGTTGAATATGATATTTTTCTCTCTTTTCTTTTTGTGGCCATATGGTCTTGCTCTTTAGTGTCTGTTGGCATGTGATGCACAAAATCAACTGGTCTTTAGCTAAATACAACTATTTTTGTTTTTTTTTAAACAAGAAACAGCATGGGAGGGCCCCTACAGTTAAATTTTTATTGATAAAATCAGAAGGTACAAAAAATTACAACGACAAGATCCAATCTTTCATTTAATCTAAGAAGAAGAGATCTCCCTTGAAAAGGTGCCTCCAAGACAAAGGATGGAAGCTACTCGTATTAGCTTATTATCAAAGATGAAGCTATTTTTACTGATTGACAATAAACAAAAGAAATTTTGGTGAAGGCTGAAGTGGAATGATCATAATAAAAATATGGTTTTTGGAATGTGCAGGTTATCAAAGGATTTAAGCCAACAGAACGTTGCATGCTACTGAAGTTTGTGACAAGCTGTTCCCGAGCTCCATTACTTGGATTCAAGTATTTGCAGCCTTCTTTCACAATTCATAAGGTTTGGTTTTTATAGTCCTGTGTGTACATTGATTGTTTTGTACTGCTCATTGTTCAATTTTTTATGTTCTATCGTTTTTGTCTAGGTTCCATGTGATGTTACACTTTGGGCTACAATTGGAGGCCAGGACGTGGATCGTCTTCCATCTGCTTCCACGTGCTATAACACACTCAAGGTAAAAACTATATTGCTTTTATCTATGCACCCTGCTAATATGATAATTTTTATTACATGTTTCTCATCGCATGTTCCTAATTTCTTATAGGCATCGATGCCAAATTGCTGCATTTTATTTGACCTGTTCTGTTCATTTTATTACTTTCCAGCTTCCAACATACAAACGGTCAAGTACGCTGAGGAGCAAACTGCTATACGCGATTAGCTCAAATACTGGGTTTGAACTCTCGTAGAGGTATGAAGATTTTATGTGGATAGATTAAAAAATTGGGTTTGGCACGTGAATTGAGTGCCATAGCCTAGATAATGCACTTGTAATTGGTATGTGCATCGCTGTAAATTTATCTGCCTATTCCGATGATAACCTGCATATTCGCATTGATTTAATATCAAACTTGCCATCGAAACTCTATTGAAAGTTGTATGTAAATTTTGGTTTAAGTTCTCAGGAACCAAACAATTTGATTTTATTAATAGTTCCTAAAATCAAAATCAGTAATTATAAAATTATGTATAGTATCATGAGTCATGACACAGTGATGCCTTTTGCACTAGCTTTAAAGTTTTCTTGATATAATAATTCTGAGATTAGGTTTAAATCGTAGTTTTTTTCTTAATTAGTAAATAGAAAGTTCGTTTGGAGTGTTAATTATAATTTTTTTTCAGGAGTCGGGATTTCAAAATTCGGAATTAGTAAGCATCGAGTCGTACTTGTCTTAAAATTGCAATGTATTAAGAAATTCAAAGTTAATAATTACAGAGTTGTTTCTAACATGGTCTCTTGTTTTAATCTGAGCCATTATAATCTGGTCCATGGATAGCCAGATTTTCCAATTTTCTCCTCCTTGGAGCATCCAATCAGCAATTCAAGCTGTTGTAATTTGGTCCCACCTAAAGGGATTAATAGATTTATTACTTACTATTTTTTGAGTAACTTTCTGAAATCCCCTGTTTTATATGGTCAAAGTTACACAAGTTACACAAAACCACATGTATTATGACGTGTAACACATAAACACAGGTTTGATGGTATATATGTTTTACAAAACCTCACCTTTATTAATGTTAACATACTACCAACATTCTTCTTTAAAGTAGCGAAGAGTTAAACTGTCAACCTTATTCAAGAATTTTATAGTTAACAATTTTATATGCACATTTTGTTTTAGAATTATAAGTAAATTTGTGCTCAATGTATATCATAATACCGAGGTTGTGCCATATGTTATAACGCCTGTGTTTTTTCTGGAACTTTAACCTTAAACCACAGGGTTTTATAAAATTTACTCTTACTTTTAGATTAACGCATGAATTTTATTAGATTAGAATGTCTAATTAGTATATATAGGTATAGAATAGGTAGAGCAATAATCTCATTAGTTAGCGTGGTTGTGGAGTTAAGCACATATATGTTTTCACTTATCGTCTCTCAAATCGTAGTGTTCGTGATTGAACTGTCACGACCTACGTACGTACACGTGATTGCGCTTTTTATGAGGCTCAACCATCTATGTGATCATGGATTTCTCATCGCGTATCCATGGTAAAACACGCCACATATGGATCACAAGGTACCAAAGCACACAGCTGCAAAACACCCATTGCTAGCGGGATAGTACAATCCAAGCGCATGTACATGACATATTACACCAAGCAAGCAGTTCATTCATACTACAGCAAAACAACTAAGCCCAAGCCCGTGCACATGACTGCACGATAGAGAGAAAAACAAAACTAAACAAGCAGGGCAACCGAAACAGCAGCATGCAGCACGTACGGCGGCTACTCGATCGATCGCTAGCAGGAGAAACAAATAGCAACTTAACTAATTAAGTTCACAGGAGTAGAGTAGAGTAGTTGAGAAGCAGAAGCGAGAGCAAGAAGCTAGTAGCGCTGTTGGCTGTGCATGCGTCCGTCATTCTCAGGAAACGGATGGATGGATCAGGAGATGAGCTGGAGGCCCTGGAGGAGGAGGGCGTCGGCGAGCACCTTGTTGGCGGCGTCCGTGGGGTGGAATCCGTCCCAGAACACGTACCCCGTCGCGTTGGCGCACGTCCCCACCGCACCCTGGTTGCACAGCACCGACGTCTCGATCGTCCCCGTCCCGCAGCACGCTCTCCGAGACTCGAAGAAACCTAGTTAATTGGAGTAGTACCCATCATCACATAATTAATTATCAGTTCAATTTCTCACTCTCACAACATCTTCTTCAAAACAAAAAAAAAGAGAGAGAATTCGTGCATTGCTGCCAAAGAGGAGGCGTGATTAGGGGCTGTAAATAGCTAGCCTGCGAACCCATTCATAGATAGATCGAAACAAACGGGTTTGTAGTTTGTTTTGATCTATAAGTATGCTTCACGGTTAGTCACTTACACCTAAATAGACGTAATTACGTGTACGTACCGGCGGCAGTGGGGTTGGTGACGAGGTCGAGGAGCGGGTTGTAGATGTCGAAGACGACGAGCTTGAGGTCCGAGTGCTGCTTCCTGATGCTGTCGGAGGCCGCCTCCAGCTTCGCGTTGAACGTCCGCGAGTCGTTGTTCAGCCGCTCCACGCACCCGCCGCCGCTTCCGCCGCCGAACAGCGTCACCGACGCCGGGAGGCACCCCATCGGCGGCAGCGACGTCACGCCGATCCGCCTCGCCCCCTGTCCGTACAGCCCCTGCACACACACCACGCGTTCCCAAAAAAAAAAAAAAACCCAAGATCAAAATCGTTGAATTGATTCGGTACCACGACGAGGCCATTTTCACTGCACGGTACACATGAATGCATTTCTACCTCAAATAATATGAAACGCGGGAAAATGTTTGTGATTTTGTACCTATTTACTCCCCCCGTTCATCTTTGTTTGTTTGACAACAGATAGTACGTACTATGCAAGTACAGACTTTGACTGCTCATCTTCTTTTTTTTAAAAAAATACGAACATTTGAAAACATATCATTATCTATGTAATTTGGCAATTTGCATGCTAAAGAACTGGATATACTACTACTTGTATTTATCAAAACATCGTAATTCAGAAAAAAAATATTATTGACCAAAATTAAAATTATACTAGTCAACAGTGTCAAATAAAAAAAAACAGAGTGTACTTGGTGTACTGGCTGTTTCAGTAAATTCAAAGAAGTAAAAAAAATGTCCTGCGTATGTGAGCTTGGTGGATCGACTGCGTTAAGTATGCCATTACACCCAACAGTAGCTGCTAGCTGTGGCATTGTGTATTGAGCAGTGAAATCGGTGGCAAGCAAGATCGACAACACCGGCCGGTGCAGTAATAAAGAGAGAGATTCATGCTTGTCTTGAATCTTTCATCCACCCACATCCACATGGTCAAGACAGATCTGTGAAATGGCAGGCAGCAGCAATAGGTTTTCTGCCACTGCCACTGTCCAATCTTTCTTTCTTTCCTTTTCAGTGAAACCACTCACTATACATGCATATGGACAACACGGCCTAGCTTGGAACTCTAGCATGGAAATGGGTCAATTTCCATGGTGCATTTACTAGAGGGGATTGGTGTGAGGGAATTGTGGATTTACTAGCTTGGAAACTCTAGCATGGAAATGGGTCACAATTTCCATGGTGCTGAAAATGTTACATTGGCAGGGGCAGATCAGATCAGTCCGGAATGTCACTAGCTAGAGCATTGTATTATAGGGGGAAAGCCTCTAGTTGTAGCTATATAATTGCAACTTTTGTAGTAATCTCGTTTAGCTTTCTCTCGCAAAACCGGGGTCAATTTGGGATAGGACTATAGTAAAAATGTCTCTTCAACAAGGGCTAATCAACAGGCCTCTGACCCCCTTAATTAGTTTGCCTTTGTGCCAATGACCAGATTAGCAATTTTAATGTACTAATGTAGCGATTGCTGGCAAGCAAGCATTCGCATTGGATGATCTCCCTACATGTGACACCAGCAACAGTAGTACTCCATGTAAATTAGAAAATTAAATGTGTATCTGCGTGCATTAACTGATGCTAGCTACAACAACGTATGTACTGTGGAGAATGGCAGGAACATGCATGTTTTGGAAGAAAAGAAAACCATGGGAGGTTGAAGAATTGAGATGCAGGCCATTGATAGCTACCGGTCCTACCCATAGAACCTGTGACCTTTTGATCCATCCATTTACTCCTCTAACCTCCTCTGCAAAGGCTATTCAATTGCCTGTCTGTCCGCTCAAGATCGATCGATATGTCACTGTGCACTACGAGCAGGGACTGTCCCATGCCGTTACTCCTATAGAAGACTTCTTTAGAGTGAAGTAATTTTTTTTTCTAAACAGGAGAAGTAATTACCATGAAAATTCTACTCGTAAACAGGAATACTAGCTACTTACGAGTTCTAAACTTGTTGCTAATGGCCAATGGGATGAACAATCTGACACTACAAATATTGCTCCATGCACATTTTACAAAACGTTTAGCTATTTCAGTTATCCTGGGATTAGCATGCGGTTTCATGAAAAGTCTAACTGTAATTTGGTGCAGTAAAAGATAAATTGACTGTGCCTTTCTTCAAAAAATGGAAAAAAAGAAAAGAAACTGATTGTTAATTTAGCTGGGTTTTTTTTTGCTACCTTACATTTAGATTCATTTAGTATAGTACCCTTGCCCATTGTGTCATGGCAATGGCATGGACCATTGTGGAACAAACGGAGTATAATGACTTGATGCATGTAAGCATTTGCATGCATGGTTGCATCATTTAATCAAGTGATAGATTGGAGAACCAAATGTCAAGTGCTTTGCATGCTGTGCTTAATCAATCAGTGCTTAGTGGTACTAATCAATTACAATAATATATGGATTTGATTACCTCGATGAAGGTGGTGAAGGGCTGCATGAGGACGTCGGAGAACTGGTCGGGGGTGTAGGTGGCGCCCAGCATCGGGTTGACGTAGTAGTTCTGCACGAAGTCGCTGGTGCCGGCGCTGACCACGTAGATGGACTCCGACGTCAGCGCCGCCGCCTTCTTCCCGCCGGCCACCGCCTCCACCTTCGTCTTGTACTCCTTGAAGTACCCCAGCTGCCGGCTCAGCGATATCGCCCCCTGCATACGCCACAAAACACACCACATCTCTGATCATCGATTAACATATAGTGATTTTGGTTTACAAGCTAGTATTATGGCTTAATTGGTCCCGTTTGAACTGGCTGGAGATAAAGATTAAATGCGGGCACCAAAAAACATCAACATGTAACTAATTAAGTTTTAATTATTTTAAACTTAAAAAACAAATTTATCTGATTTAAAATAATTTTGTAATACAAAATTTTCATTGAAAACCGAGGTAAATTTTGTATCTTAATTAGAAAAGAATATAACAATTTGAAACATATCATTGAGCACATTGTTTCTGCAGAAAATATTACTCCCTCCGTCCCATTTTAAGTGTAGCCATATTTTTCCGCGTCAACTTTAACCATCCGTCTTATTTAAAAAAAAATTAAAAAAATAAAAACATAAGTCACGAGTAAAGTACTATTCATGTTTTATCATCTCATAACAACAAAAATAATAATTATAAAAAAAATTTAAATAAGACGGACGATAAAGTTGGACGCGAAAACTTATGGTTGCGATTAAAATGGGACGAGTGAGTTACTTAGACTGAACAACTAACTTAATAAGAAATATATTGAAGACGAAAATGCATTTTTTTTAAAAAAAAAGAAAAAAGAAAAAAACGTGAAGCAGATAAACAAACCGTACGTAGAGGGAGGCGGTGGTGTCGAGGTAGCCGGAGGCGCCGGAGGCGAAGTTGGCGCCGTGGAGGAGGGAGCGGTTGTCGGACTGGGCGAGCTGGCCGAGGTAGGGCGGCGGGTAGGAGGTGAGCCCCAGGTTGTCGACGGTGTAGTCGGTGGCCAGCTTCCCGTTGCAGAACCGCCCCGTGGGTGCCCCGTGCGTCTCCGGGAAGTCGCGGCCGTAGGGCGGGAAGTCGGCGCGCACCAGCGTCGCCAGCCGGTTGTTGTTCCCGGCGTCCACCACCGAGTCCCCGAATATCATCACCCCCGGCACCAGCGCCGCCTGCTGCCCCGCAGCCGCCGCCACCAGCAGCAACGACACCAACACCGCCGCCGCCGCCGCCATCGCGGTCATGATGCTAATAATGCTACTAGCTGCGTTCTCTCTCTGGTTAGTGGAGTGAGGTGGTGATGTGGTGAGCGAAGTGAAGTGCGTGGGTTTCAATTTGTTGGCCTCTGTTATTTAAATTGAGACGTGCGGTCAAGTGAGGCCGAATTTAGTTCCAATTTTTTTTTTAAAACTTTCAACTTTTTTATCGGATTAAAACTTTCCTACACATAAACTTTTAATTTTTCTATCACATCGTTCCAATTTTAACCAAACTTCCGTCACACCGTTTCAATTTTAACCAAACTTCTAATTTTAATGTGAACTAAACACACCTAAGTTATTGCTGGCTGGCTGCCTGCTGGAACTACTACAGTAACTACTGCAACAAGTTACAACTATTACAGGCATGTGCGCATTCAATGGGCTAACCAAAATGTACTAGTGCGAAACTTATCTTCCTATGCATAGTGCTCCAATACAACGAAATAACACGTACTGGATCCAACTTTCCACCTACAGCGTCATGCATATCGTCTTGCCTTGTTTTGCCTTTTCTTTTCCCCCTACGTGCGTGCGTGTGCTAATCTGGAGCGAGTAAATCGTATCTAACCCTATACTGCTTAATAAACTACCCCAACGATAAATTAACAGAATTATTATGTTGAGATTTGTGAAACGGCTTTTAATTTCTGTGTGAGACCGAGAGCTTCACTCGAATAAAACCATTTTTATCCGTGAAGGCTTTTCTGCTACTCAAATAACTAGTACTTTTTAAAACTTCCCCTGTGAAACAGTGAGACCTCAAGATTGATCCAGTAGGCCAGTAATTATCAACTAATATCCATTAGAAGATCAAACGGAAGATAAACGGGCAATATTTAAGAGGTTAAGATTGCTTACGACGGCTCAAGAAGGCTTTACAGCCGCATGAACTGTTCCAACTCAATACGGTTCATAGTACTAGATCGTACGGCTGACATAACTCCATTACCACGGCTGATACTTTACTACGGGTCAAGCTGGGCAAAACCTTGAATAGCTGATTTGAGTGCGGAACAATAGCAAACGGCTGCGAAGTAAATCACTTCATCGACTTAAAAACAGAAACATCACAAAAATAAGCTAGAGATTTGTCAAACATTCGTTCTGTTCCCGACATTTCTGATCATGATTTCACATAATCACATACCACCAAAGGACCGAATGAAACAAAAAAAAAGGATAATCTAAACCTTCCATGGTCTAAAGCCTAAAACAGCCAATTAATCAGGCCAAATGTACCAGAACTAGTGTATAAATGCTGTACTGCAATCAGTGGGCATCCTAGCTCCTACTGTTAATAATACACAAATGTTACATGAACTTACAAGCAGGGGAGCGGATACTGGACACGATTTCCAGGTCGCAAGGCCAAGACGCATTCCATTGGCTGTACAGTATCCGAAAAATCCAGTTGGTTTTGCAAATCAGGTGGCAGGAGCTGAGCTGGGAATCTTGAATTGCTTCTTCACATAGTGCGAAGCCTCCGAATCATTTCTGTGGCAAAGGACCCTAAGCAGGGTTTTGGAATCGGTTCCAAACTTACTTTTAGCGCCCTGAGTAACTTCTCGTAGGTCATCGATGAGCACACGTGTCTGGTAAAAACATGCAGAAGCAAACCGTTACAGATGATGATTATGACTTGGCACGCACTAGTCTTTTTTGGGAAATAAGAGTTTCCTACGGCTAAATTTTACTCCCTTCATTTTTAATATACTAGAAAAATTGTACGTGCATTGCCACGGGTGAAGGTTATTTTAATCATATTATTGTTAGATCTTTTTGTCTAAAAAGTATATGGGATTTTTATTTTGATAATATTGATATCTAATTTGGAACTCTTATTAGGCCTGGCAAGAATTTTGTAGCAATTAGGAGTCCGACTCTTGTTCCAAATTAACATGCGAGTTTTTTAAGGATTTCTTATACGACTCCTTATTATGTATTCCCAAAAGTGAACAAACTTAAAAACCGACTCAAATACAAATGACGTACCAAAGTATCAACAGAAACATCTTTAATTTTTATAATAGGAGAGACAGAGATAACGCCATTGACATTTTAAGATTAACCTTTTAAGATACGTTGACTATTCATTTTATTCAAAAACTTTATGTAGTTATCATTCATTTTGTTATGTCTTATTTATCGTACAAGGTTCTTTTAAGCGTGACTTATAAGACAAATGGACAAACGTATGTATAAAAAAAATCAACGATGTTATATATTAAAAAACGGAGGTAGTGTGATTTTGGGACTGATTTCTGCTCTAGGGCAAAGGGCATGGAACAATGTGGCACGATTACATGCAGCTTGGGTTGTAACCAGATCTGGGCGGACCAGCTACCTGAAATCCTGAATTGGTTTGTTTGCTGTGCCAACGACTTAGGCTGTGTTGAACCCCTTCTCCCCGGCGCGCAAAACGAAGCTCATATTATTGCATGATCAATTAAGTATTAACTTTTTTTTTGAAAAATAGATTAATATGATTTTTTAAAACAACTTTTATATAGAAAGTTTTTGCATAAATCACACTGTTTAGCATTTTAAAAAGCGTGCGCGCGGAAAACGAGAGAGGTGGGTTGGGAAAATGGGGGGGAAGAACACGTGATTAATTAAGTATTAACTTTTTTCTTTGAAAAATGGATCAATATGACTTTTTAAAGCAACTTTCGTATAGAAATTTTTTGAAAAAAACGCACCGTTTAGTAATTTGAAAAGCGTGCATGCGGAAAACGAGAGAGGTGGGTTGGGAAGATGGAGTGCCAAACTCAGCCTGGGATAACTAGCTAATGGAACAGAGAAGTTCCATCTAAACGAACAAGTTATACAGGTGCCTATAATCCAAACAGTGAAGATTCTACTTTTTTTTTACCAAAATAAGAAATGGGACATAATTAGGTTCGTTTGAGTTTGACATGAAGCTAATGTGTGTTCTGTGCCTACGACTTAGAGATAACTAGCTAATGGAACAGAGAAGTTCCATCTAAACGAACAAGTTATACAGGTGCCTACAATCCAAACAGTGAAGATTCTACTGTTTTTTTTTACCAAAAATAGGAATGGGACATGATTAGGTTCGTTGTTGACATGAAGCTAATGTCTGTTCACTAACAACTGCTAGACACCTATGTAACCATTGGAGCTACGTCATTATGTTACCTCCACGATCTGGAGTTCCACACCCTAGGTTCTGTTCACCGGTTTACCCAGTGTCAAAATGAGAAATTAAATCCAAACTTACCTCTTGCTTGATCAGATCTATTACAGGGCGAACACGTGAGACCAAATTCTCGACAGTTCCACGAGGTAGGCCATCTCCACCAGATATAAAAAATTCCTATGCGAAGTGAAAATTTACATCAAGACTAACAGTTTTTTGTTTGGCCAGCAAAGAGAAGACAACATTAAATGTTCCAGAGGCATAATAAGCACAAAACAACCAACATCCAGGTAATACTATGTTCCTTATAACGCAAAAAACAGCCAGGTTGTACTTCAGATAATGATATACCTTCAGAATTTCAAGATCTTCTTCCAAAAGAGTGGCATCACTTGGAGAGAAGACACGCGTAGGACCTCCATCCAATATCACACGGAGTAGGCCATCCTGCCAAGCAAGGTAACTTTAAGATAACATATAGCTCACAAGCTGTCACAACAATCCTACAGAATTTATTATCCGGAAAGATTACCAGAGATGCTTGTAGAAGCCCTGTAACCACACGATCCCGTAGTTGCTCCACAATGACATTACAAAGCTGATTAAGCACCTAAATATTGAGGCGTGGAATCAAATATCTCCATTAGTTCAAGCGAATCTTACAAACCAAATCACAATATATATATTTATCAAAAAAACACTAATAACCAGAGGTACAGGATTCAAGATTGATTATCGATTTTTGTGATATAGCAAATGGTTTGCACTTTGGCCACAGATAATTAACTTATCCATATCTTTTGAGGAAATAAACTATATTCATAACAGAATACAATATGTGTTCTGTGAAAAGTTGATCATCTAAGTAGCTAACCAGCATTAGTACATAGATAAATGGTAGGTTTCATGCTAGCTGTCAGATCATAGGGTTTTGTTTCTCCAATTTAATGTTCCTGAAAGGTTGCACGATTCATGAGCATACCGTATCAAGTACTTCCATAATAGCATCCAGTCGAGCTTGAGAAACATTGTTTTTGTACAAATTATCAATAAATGGCTGCTGTAGGTCCCAGAAGATAACCTTTAGCCCTAAGAAAGAAAAGGTTAACATGTTAATAGATATCTGTCAGCTTCCAAGAAAGCACTGGGGCATGTATATTTTCTTACCTGTAAACTCACATATCCGATCAATTGCAGCATTGATTTCTTTTCTGCTGCCATCAAATTGATTCTTCTGACTCGAGACAGCACTCTTTGATTTTTCACTCATTGATCGTCCTGACAAAGTTCAAATATTTTCAATATAACAGATTTAGTCTGATGTTATCTATAAGGGGTAGATCAAATAGATTGATTTGCAAACTTATCAGAATATTCAACAGATAAATTGGCAACTAAAATATTTTTTTTCTAAAGAAAATCATAACAGTATACATTTTTTTTCTTGAAAACGCATAACAGCATACTTACTGATGTTAATGCTCTCACTTTTCCTCCTAGCCCACCGCTCATTTATGCTGTCCTCCAGCTTGCTTAGCTGGCTGATACCATACTGTTTGACAAAAAAAAAAGTGCTTCTGGTTCAAAACTAATGAAAATGGACACAATTCAAAGGGAAGAGAAAAGTCAAAAGATGCCATGAGGACACTGATGTAGATCATGAAAAAAAAAACTAGCAATAGCTAAATTCAAAGGAAGCCAGGCTGGAAGGTGAAGATATTCACCTATAGGTTATAGCAGCATAATTATCAACACACTTGAAGCCTAGAAAATAATTTTAATGAGATACATACACTGATCCCCAAATGTCATAGTTTTAAATTAAATTTTTTATTAAGATTGGCATATAAAGAAGATATATCGTTTTATATCTCACAGAAATTGCTCGGGAACTTGACAAGTCATTCTAGTCAAAGCAA